GGCTTATTTGTTACTCATTTCTAAGCGATACATGACAAAACCATTTGTCAGGGTTATTGAAGGGCAGAATGAGGTAAGGGGCTGCAAAAGTAGTTTGTCCTAGCAGAAGGGCTATTGAAATGACAACTGTTTTACCACTGGGCAGCATAGAGCACTGATTGAAAAACTAACTTAACTTTGAAGTCAGACTTGAATTTAAATTTGAGCGCATGGTGCTCACGTGACCCTGGTAAAGTTATCATTCTGAACTTCCGTCTCATCGTGAGAAATACCTATCCCCACTGGATTGTTCTGAAAATTAAATATTCCTATCAAGTAGTATATGATGAAACGGGCTTTTACATAGTAAAACTCCCCTGCCACCTTGTTTTCTACATTACTAGCTGGTGAGACGAGCCCCGCCCCCACCTCGTGAGTCCTGTGTCCTACCTAAAGCGACAGGTCCCGCCCCTAGCCTTAAAGGTCAAGTCGGGTTCGATCGGAATGGGTCGCAGGAGAAAAAGGGGTAGTCAGGTACCCTGGAGCTCTCAGCCGTCCTTTAGTAGGGGTCTTTAGCAACCGGACCCCGCGTTGCTACAGAACGTGTAATCCAGGCCACTCACCCGCTAGTGACCAGGGTACTAGGGAAAGGCTCATGCGTCGGCGCGGCAGCGGCGACAGCGGTGGCGCGGACGTCATGACATCAGAGGCGGTAGGGCGGCGCGGGCGTAGTGCGTCACGGGTGGCCTGGCAGCGGGCGGTGTTGCGGCGGACGTACCTAGAGAGGGCTGTCGGGTCGTGGAGTCAGGACTGCTCTTGGGGCATGAGCCGAGGGAACAACACCGAGGACACGAGGTGAGTTTGGCCACACTATGTCCTAGCACCCGCAAGGGGATCGTAGAACAGGCCTCCCTGGCAGAACGGCTTCTTAGGCCCCGCCCCGGATTGCCCCGCCGCTGGCCCGGAAATAACAATCCGAGTAATGACCCCTCGCCTCTAGGAATTCGCAGCCAGGAATCAGAAAGCTGCGAATCCCAGGCTTTACTCGCCGTCAGTTTTTAGGAACGAATCCCTTTTCTTCTCTGAGCTTCAGTTTCCCTAAATGACTTTTTTCTAGCTCCCAGGGTTGTTGCAGGTCAGATGAAAGAATGGATAAAGCGTTAAGGGAACTCTTACTCTTTAAGGGGGGTTCGCCATTGCAAACCTAAAGGATTTTGATAGTCGCACGTTGTGCTCAGCTGCCACAGACCTTGTCTTATTTAAACCTCACAGTGACCCAGGCGACAGGGATAATTATGCCCATTCTAGGAAGAAAAAGAAACGGAAGCTTCCAGTGGAGAAGTAGCTTGCTTCATTCTTTCAGTAAATACCGAGCCCCAGTCACGAGCCAGGCAGTGCACTAAGTGCTTGGAATAGAACCATAGTCAACATAGTGCCTTGCCCACTAGGACCTTACATTCTAATGGGTGATCCACAAAAAGGTAAAGACACGGAATTAGCTCTGGTGGCTGTGGTAGAGAATAATGGTGTTCAACTACAGCTCTAAAAGAGTAGAATCCCATTCTCTACCACATCTGGTGTGGCTCTGTAGGATAAAGCACTGGACTGCTAACCTCAAGGTTGGTAGTTCAAAACCACCAGCCTCTCCTCAGAAACTCTATTAAGGGTTGCTATGAGTTGGAACCGAAAGCTTTTCTGAGGAGAGGACAGCTGAGGGGAGAGCTTATAATTTGTTAAAGTCACACAATAGCTAGGTGCATAGCCTTGATTTGAATCCAGATTTCTCTGGCCTCATATCTTGCATTCTTTCCACTAAAACCTGTGGTAGTGGTGGTTAGGTGCCATGGAGTCATAG